GAAGATAACTCTGCAATACGCAAAGACGGAAAACTGCAACTGTAAATATAGGTTACCCGGATATGTGTTTGTCCTTTTTTCTGTTTTCAGGCGATGTTTCGACCTCGTGACGTTACAGATGACAGACCAGCACGTCACATTCCCGTTCCCTACATTACGGTATTATGCATTTTAAATTCTTCATGTGTTATCAAATGCATTTAATACAGATTAAGATTGACTGACAACATTATTTAAAAGGTAATGTTTGCACCTGTATTACTATTGCAAGTAGGGTAAATTCCTGTAATGCCATTTTGCGACTTCATCAAGATAGTAAAGACATAATAACGCAACTTCTTTTGCTGAATCAATATCAGATAGAAATATCATAATAATATCATTGGTAGCCCTCATTTGTGTTGGCGTGGACACGTCTTTTAGAAAGAAGGCTTACACCTTTTAGTTATTTCAAACAGATTCTATATATTGACAGTAATGCAATTGACAGACAGGTCCAGTGGTGTCTACATAACGGAAATACTGTACCAAGGCGCGCTCAAGACATTTAATTTTAATTTTAGTTTCGTTTAACGTCCTATCAACAGCTGGTCAATTAAGGACGTGCCTCCAAGTGTGTTGTGTATGCGTGTATGTGTTCTAGAGGTAGGTTGTGTTAGTGTCATTGCATCCTTGTGATAGAGCTACTTTTGGCTTTAATGTTTTAAATATATAAACTTCAAATGTTTATTTATAAAGGACATACCTCGACACACAAATCAGCACGGTCCAATACAAAAACACAGGTGAACATTGCTGCCTTGTTCACGCACCTGTTCACGCACCTGTGGGGTTTGTCGTCGCCCGGGGCAATTTTGCGAGGTGTGAAAATGATACAGATGTCCAATACAGAGACATTATAGATCGACACCAATGCAATTAACAAACACGATGCATTCACGATGGGTGCACGCTGTTTTTTCGGGGGTTTTTTGCGGACCCAACTGTACATGTAGAAAACCTGGAATTCTGGGGGTTTTTTTCTTTTTTTCCAGGTAATTGATGACAGACCAGCCCCTCAATCGGCATTTGTCAACAATAGGGTAATTTACATTTCCTATTCTTGCTGTGTTATCAAGTGCATCATTACAGATTGTGATTAATTGATACCTTAATTTAAATGGTTATTTTCGCAAGTACAGTGCACTACTGTAATTCAAAATAATAGCGAAAAATCAGGTAAAACTACGTGAGAATTTCATTTATTAGTCTTATGCTGCCTACGTCAGGTAGCCATAATCTGTACTGACATGGACACTTGAACTTACCTAGAAACTAAGCTCACACATTTAAGTTGTGTCAAATAGGCAAACAAGAGATCGACACAAACGCAATTGACAAACAAGTCCTGAAATGTCTACAAAATAGTCATACGTAATTACAGATCGACTCTCTGTGTCCGGAACAGGCCACGCAAACTTGTCGGTCACTTATCCAAACGTTGTTGACTTGTTTTACAACCTGCGTTAAAACCCCATTCTTGACAGTTTACATTAGTTATACTGTATATATGTGATACGCATTGTTGAATAAGGGCATTATGAAAAATTAGCTAATCAGAAATTACTACGATGTTCCTTATTTAAAATCTTCCGGCTTTTTAGGTCACCTGGCCGTATGTTATGGTGACCTTTTTCGATCCGTCTCCGTCTGTCGTCGTGCGCTGTGTGTTAACTTGTGAGCACGATAACTTAAAATTAAAGTGAATGGATTTCGATGAATTGTGCTATGCTGCTTTATATCAATCAGACCACGGACATGTATGAAAATACAAACAGTAACTGACAGAGTGATGGGACTTTGACTTTTTAATAACTATTCGAGCATATGGGATTTGAGCTTGTGAGCACAATAATTTGAATAAATGTGAATTGATTTCGATGAATTTTGCTATACTGCTTTATATTAATCAGATCTCGGATACGTTTGCAAATGATCCTAATCAAACAGTAACTTGCAGAGAAACTGACAATCGGAGAATACAAGATGGCCTTTCCTGACCTGTGGCATGCTGAGACGAGAAAATGTTCGACTTCTCGAGATAATCTGCAGCAATTCACTTTTTTTTTGTATAAATATTCCTTATAATGTTCCAAACAAGTGTTCTTACTTTTTGTGCCGATCAGAAATTCCAAGATGGTCACCCTGACCTCTCATTGACAAAGATGATTTTCACTTCTTCTCAAGAAAGGCTTCGCCGATTGACTAGGTGTACCAAACTTCACATTCGTGGTTATTAGGAAACAACAAGGCGAACGATTGTTGAATCGTACGATTGTACGCGCTATATGTAGTGCAGGCACGCTGATTTGTGTGCATTATGTAGTCACATACAGTGTATAATGCAACTGTAAATATAGGTTACCCAAGTATGTTTTTGTACTTTGTTTCTTTTTTCAGGCATTGTTTCGACCCCATGACGTTACAGGAGACAGATCAGCACGTCAAAATCCTGCTCCCAACACTACGGTAATATGCATTTTCAATTCTGCATGTGCTATCAAGTGCATTTGATACTTGGTTTGATTTTGGTTTTATCTTGTTTAACGTCCTATTAACAGCTGAGGCCATTTAAGGACGTGTATGTGTGCTGGAGACAGGGTAAGTGGATATAGAAGTGTTTCTTATGAGTTTTCGACCAAGTTCGTTACTTTCCTGCTGATTGTAAAATTCCAGATGGCCACACTGGCCTGTGTTTGGCTAGGACATTTACAACTTCATCTGTAAATAAACCATTAAACGTATAATCTAATTCCGCTATACAGCATGTGCATGCCTGGTCACGAGGCTAGTATGGGTGTATGCCCTCTCTCCAAAGTTACTATGTGCCAATTTAAAAAAAAAGTGCTGCGATTTGAGTGCTTCAGAATTTACTAAGGTGATCTCTTAGGCCCATTGGCCTCTTGCTTCCATTTTTCTAAATTGTTCAACTAGGTGTACCAAACTTTACATACGTGCTTGCTAGGAAAACGACCAGGCGTACGATTGTACACGCTATATGCAGTGTACGCACGCTGATTTGTGTGCAATATGCAGTCACATACAGTGTATAATGCAACTGTATATATAGGTTACCCGGATATGTTTTTGTACTTTGTTTCTATTTCCAGGCAGTGCTTCGACCTCGTGACGTTACGGGAAACAGATCAGCACGTCACAATCCTGTTCCCAACACTACGGTAATATGCATTTTCAATTCTTCTTGTGTTATCTATCAAGTGCATTTGATACTTCGTTTGGTTTTGGTTTTATTATGTTTAACATCGTATTACAGTTGTGGGATCGCACAACGTTATGAAAAGTCAACTGGATGTTTAATATTTGTTATTTGCATTCGTTTTGGTCTATAGCTC